TTGTTTTTAAAGTTTACAAGGTCTTTTTTTTTTTTCCCTATAAAGTAAGTCTTTAGAGAAATAGTCTATTCTGTTATTAAAAAATTAAGTTTTTAATTATATTATTGAATGAATGAAAAGTGAAATATGTGACAGGTCTTCTGATTTGCTCTAGGAGATGAAAATTGAATGAGAGATCCTCTCAGACTTCAGTGAACTCATATATTTATATATTTATTTTTAAAAAAAAGATTCTTAGGTTGGAGCTTATGAGCTGAAGGACTTCGGGAAAACCCATGGAATCCCCTCAAATTGTATAGAAATTTTTGTAATATGTTTGTGTTTTCCTGAGGAGATGATCCATAGATTTTTGTCAAATTTTTAAAGACTTTCAATACATAGAAAAGCTGAAGGAGGCGTGTTAGGCTATTCTTGCATTGCTATAAAGAAATATTGAGACAGGGCAATTTATTTAAAAAAGATGTTTAATTGGCTCATGTTTCTGCAGGCTTTGCAGGAAGCATGGTGTTGGCATATGCTCTGCCTCTGGGGAGGTATCAGGGAGCTTACAATCATGGCAGAGGTGAAGTGGGAGTAGGCATTTCAAATGGCGAAAGCAGTAGCAAAAGAGGGAGAGTGTGGTGGGAGGTGCCACATACTTTTCAATGACCAAATCCCATTTGTATTCACAGCAAGAGCTCACTAGTATCACCAAGGGATGACCCAAGCCATTCACGAGGGATTTACCCCCATGATCCAAACACCTCCTGCCAAGCCCCACCTCCAACATTGAGGATTACATTTCCACATGAGATATGGGTGTGGACAAATACCCAAATACAAATGTCTAACTAATTTAGTACAATGGATGTTGTAATAAGGATAAAAAGCAAGAACTTTAGGAGATTAGTGTAGAGTTGGAGGCCTACCTAGCATGTTCAAATTTCTATATAGGACTCATTTGATATCGACACTTGGGCCAAGTTTACCCTGTTCCATGCCACATCTCTCACATGCAATACAGTAACTGGTATGTAGTGATGATTTTATCAGTAAGAATCCTGGTAGTAATAGGTGGATTTTTTTTTTTTTTTTTTTGAAGGTAGTTTATTGAAGGGACTATTTGCAGAGGTGTGACCATGGTTTAAGATAATTAAGAAAGGATGATGAATCACCTAGAGACTAGCAACACTTGGAAACTGTTATCTATCCAGGTGACAGGACAAGGATGGAAACCATGTTCCAAAACTCAGTGAGAGTTGTAGGCAGAAAGAAGAACCACCCCAACAGGAGCGGTGGCCAAACAAGAAAAAAGACAGGGAAGAAACGGGGAATAAATTATACCATTATTTCTCTTTCCTTCCGCTGTTTCTTTTTCTGCTGATTCTTCCTCTCACTGGTGAAACCCAACCAGAAGTTAAAGGGCAAGTTATTCCCTAGAAGTAAGGCGAGGCAGAGATGCAGAGCAAGGCAGAGAAAATTAGAAAACGGATCTGGGGAGAGACAAATGGAGAATAATCAACACATGATACTTATTTGTTGAATTAAATCAAATTTTTATTGTTAATCACAATTTAGCCTTACATATTGTTAAAATAAAGTGAAAAATGAGCAAATGCCTGATGGTTTAACATTTTCTTATATACCTTTAATCCTTGAAATAAAAATCTCTTTGAAATTGTAGAGGCAACTATTTCTGTCATTTGAATGGTTGAAATAGTAAAATGATGCAATAATTATTAATCTATAAAAATTCAATATTACAATAGCTTACCTTTTTAAAGACTTTTTATTTTTCAAATGTGCATTTATCAAAATGTGAAAAATTAAAGTAGTTAACCTAGGAAAGACCAGTTCATTTTCCAGAGGCTACCTCAAAAACACTTTGTGAATCTTCTCTTACTCATAGATATTTAAGTGTTATAGAACTTTGTTTGAACTTCTGTTATAATACTCTTATTTAATAGTAGTTATTTTTATTGATAATTTTTATTATCATTATTATTATTTTGGAGATAGAGTCTTGCTCTATCCCCCAGGCTGGAATGCAGTGGTGTGATCTTGGCTCACTGTAACCTCCACCCCCTGGGTTCAAGCGATTCCCATGCCTCAGCCTCCCGAGTAGCTGGGATTACAGGAATCCACTACTATGCCCGGTTAATTTTCATATTTTTAGTAGAGACGAGGTTTCACCATGTTGGCCAGGCTGGTCTCAAACTCCTGACCTCAGGTGATCTGCCCACCATGGCCTCCCAAAGTGCTGTGACTACAGCCATCAGCCACAGCAGCCTGGCCTTTAATTTATTTTTTGAGAGTCTGGCTCTGTTGCTCAGGCTGGAGTGCAGTGGCATCATCTCAACTCCCTGCAACCTCCACCTCCCAGGTTCAAGTGATTCGCATGTCTCAGCCTCCTGAGTAGCTGAGATTACAGGTGTGCACCACCACACCCAGCTAATTTTTGTATTTTTAGTAGACATGGGGTTTCACCATGTTGGCCAGACTAGTTTTGAACTTCTGACCTCTGGTGATCTGCCCTCTGTGGCCTTCCAAAGTGCTGGGATTACAGGCGTGAGCCTCTGCACCCAGCTTTTACTGATAATATTGAAAGCAGTTCACATTTACTGATTGTTTGACGTTTCCCAAGTCACTGTGCTAAATCCTGTATGTGTATTCTTACGTTTTATCCTCACATAACCCTGTGAGGTGTGGATACTGTCGCTATGCCCTTGGGATGCATCATTGGACAAAACAAGTTCCATAAAGGCCACAGATGTTTGTATTCTGATATTAATATTCTGTGCCATTCTGTTGTTGGTATTCTCTTGTTCTGCTTGAAATGGAACACATTTTTGTATGTTTATTAGCCATTTATTTTTGTGTATGTGTTTTATGAAATTACCGACTTAGTCTTTTGCCCATTTTCCATTTGGCTGTCTGTCTTTTTATTATTAATTTGGAGGAAGTCTGTATGTATGTTTGAATATGTGCCCTTAGCTATGTGTTATAAGTGACTTCTGCCATTCTGTGGCAGATCAGGCTGAGATATTAAGAGCAGGTAGGATTTGGATAGACAAATATTAGTGTTTCTAATGAGAAAACAATAAACATAATTATAAGGGAAGAAGATATAATTCACATATGAAATAGTTGAATAGTTTGATTGGACTGAGGGTCCTTAAAGTGAACCAATGGAAGGTCAAGCCAGAGAGCTCAAAATATAGAGCTTCCCATTTTCAGGGAAGCCCTAGAAAATGGCAAAAAGATACCTCAACAGAATATTATTTTCTTTAAATACGTCTTCTTTTCAGGAATAGCTTTCTGTTTCAGGCAGGCTAGACAACCAGAAAAGAACCCTGAAAATTGTTTGCTTCTCTGGTAGGTAGCTCTGTGCGTTCTCTTCTCTGCTAGGGAATAAATCTTCTTTTACTGAAATGGCCCTGCTCTCAGTTCCTTGTGAAAAGGCGTGACTTAAAGCTGGAACTGATGGGGAGAGAAGCCTAGAGGAATGTCCTTCATCTTGTCTTCAGGCTCTAGATTTCTCAGAGTTTTGCATATTAAAGTTAGAGTACCTTCACGCAGCTACCTTTGCTGACCTGGTATTTCTCTTTATAGAGTCATTCCTTGGAGGCTGGGACTTTGATTTCCTATGATTTGGTGTGTATATTTCCTTCCAGAACTTGAAGGCCAGTGGCCGAATGGCTTTTTGGTTTTAGCATCCCTTTAGTCTCAGCCTCCATCTTACTATGTCTGCACCAATGAAGTATATTCATTCTGTTCCCTAGGGAGATTATGCTAGTGTTTTAAAAGTCTTTGCTGACCCTTATGGATTTGCCTCTCTCACCACTTATCAGACAAAAATGTTTCTGTGGTTTCACTTCTTAATTTCGTATCCATTAGAATTTGTTTTGGCTCCAAGTGCCTAAAACCCAAAAATATATAGTGGCTTAGGAACATAGGACTTTTCTTTTTATCTCATGTATTAATAAATAGAGACAATTCAGGGGTGACAAGGCAACTCCATTGATCATCTGAAATAGTGTCTTTTCATCTCATTGTTCTTCCTTCTTTATCCAAGAGCTCCAGGAATAATGTATGCATTCCAGCCATAAGGAAGGAGAAATGGAAAAGGAGAAGGACATCTCCCTCCCACCCCGTGGGTCTTCTCAGAACTTGCATCCACTACTCTGGTTATATCTTATGAGCCAATGCTTAGTTAACATAGCCACACCTAAGTCTTAAGCAGGCTTGGAAAAATTTGTTGGGCTAAAAATAGGAATTCCTGATCCTATTGAAAAAAAGGAGAATGGATGTTGAGGATAACCATTGATCTTTGCCACATAAATTTTTTGTTATTGTGCCATTAATATTTTCCTGAGATGTTTAAGGAGGGAAAGCTTAGAATAATATAGGTATACAGCCAATTTAAAATCGATTTTCATCAGAATTAGCTTATGTCTTTAGATTCTGACATTCTGAATTTTGGGCCCTTATTTTAAAATCTTTACTCTAGGGTAGACATTAACCAACTCTTGATTTTTTATTATTATTATTATTATTATTTTTGTTAAGTTTGGAAGCTTTATTTCTTCCCTAAACATTAATGTCAGATTTCATGAAATTTTTAAATATAGCAAATGCTGTTGAACATTGCAAACGTAAAATATGGAGGAGGAAATATGTGCCTTTTATCTTTATAGAAGATAAATATATTAAACCCACTATTAAAAATAGTCTATAGAAAAAATTTTAGCAATCGGTAATATAAAAGCTCTTGGTTAGAATGGATTCAAATATATGGAAATTAAATGAAAATCTAGACTCATTTCAGTTCAGTGAGAATTAGCTGATGTAGTGAGCAGCAGATATAATCTCACACACTGCATACTTTTTAAAGTCCTAGTCTTCACAGTAGAGCTTGAAGAAAATGTATTGTAACATAATTATTCTCATTATTAAAAACAATTTACTGTTAAAGCCCAGCATGTTACATCATAAGTAATATTCATTTTTTTCTTCCATAGTCAAGAAGTTTGATAACTGTAGGACTGGGTGTTGCGGCTCTTGTATTTGCAGGTAAGATAAAGAATATATACCAATAAATTGCAGGAGAAATATTTCCAAACAGCATCTACAGTGATTCATGAGTAGACCCTTAGTGTTCTGAGGTTTTGGTTTTTAGGCATTATACATTCTCATTTTTTCCACCATTGGTAGTTACTGAACATTTGTCATTGTAGCAAAATCTAGATAAACTTTATGGGAAGAAAATTAGTGGTACAAAAGCCAGGAAAACTAGCTCCAATAATAGTTTATCTTCCTGGCATTTTTTTTTTTTCAGTTTCAGGTATACTATACTATAAAAAGAAATCTTTAATATTATGTAATATAAGTGGTATGGGGTTCCTTATTCTCCCATATTTGTTTATTCTTGCAAATAGGTTTATGCATTTTAAGCTGTCAGTTTTTTCTCATGAGCATACTTGTTCCCTGTAGTTTTTTTTTAATTTGTCTCTCAACATATTGGTATAATTACCTTGATAAACCCAGGAGACTTTTTTCACTGCTAAAATTACCTTTCTCGATAGAATAGTTCTTAAGATCTAAAGTAAATTTGTTGAGTCTGTCGTTAACCTATAGTAGTTTAAAATTAGCTATTTCCTAATTAAATGTTAATTTGATAATATTTCCTTATTGATAAAGATTTACTTTTTTGTTTTAGCATTTGCGTTTGTAAGTTCTATCGATTCCATCTTGTTAATTGGATCTTCTTTTAGGCGAAGTTGCATTCCATTGTGGCTATGTGGAATTTAGTAAGATCTAACAGAAAAGTGAGAAAAAAAGAGAGTCTTGTTTTATATGGTATTTAATTTCTCATGATTATCATTTAAACCACTTTATTTTGATCTTTTGTCTTGCAAGTGAAAAAACACCTGAACAATCAGAACTTTAAAATCTAGATCAAGCCAGGCGCGGTGGCTCAAGCCTGTAGTCCCAGCACTTTGGGAGGCCGAGGCGGTTGGATCACGAGGTCGAGAGATCGAGACCATCCTGCTCAACATGGTGAAACCCCGTCTCTACTAAAAATACAAAAAATTAGCTGGGCATGGTGGTGTGTGCCTGTAATCCCAGCTACTCAGGAGGCTGTGGCAGGAGAATTGCCTGAACTCAGGAGGCGGAGGTTGCGGTGAGCCGAGATCGCGCCATTGCACTCCAGCCTGGGTAACAAGAGTGAAACTCCGTCTCAAAACAAACAAACAAACAAACAAACAAACAAAAATATAAAATCTAGATCAGTGGTTCAGATTCTCTTGATCTTTTTGTCATCAGGATCTTATGTCTCAATTATATAGCTTATACTTCACTAATTTCTGAGGTTTCATGAGAAGAATATCATGTCTCAAGAAGTTCTGACAAACTCTCCCCTAAACATAAAGCAATTTTAGTATTAATTATTATAGTAGAGTAGGCATAGTTATAAATTCAAATGTAAGATTTTGATTTGAAATTAGATAAAGAAGTATTTTTTCCAGGGTTGTCTTTCTAAAATGACAATTGGTGTGTGTATTCTATGTAGACCACACAGTTTCCAAACTCGTATTACTGACTAGAATATTATATTAAATAATAGCAAAATCTCTTCCAGAGCCAAATACAACCAGATAACAGAAATTAGGAGAAAGTACAATTAGATTTGTTGGAACTAGGTCCTCCAGTTAGAGTAAACCATCACATGTCACTTCTTACAGCATTTAACTGCTTTTTAACTGAGACTAGAAGTCAGTCACTATGGTTTTGAAGAATTTTGAGGTAATATAAAAGCTACATTTCATACTATTGTAAAATCAAATAGAATATGTCATCTGTGTGATAAGACATACAGTCAAGTTAGGGAATCAGCCTCATTTAATTTCACTTTAGTGTTCTTCTTTATGTCAAGAGCTTTTTAATTTTCACATTTTCCCGTTTCTGGCATCCTGTCTTTCATGTAACGTGTTTGCACAGAAATAACAGTATACATAGGCAGGTAAATTTTTCTAAAAGATCTAGGTAGTTGAATTTTTTTTTTTTTTTTTTTTTTAGACAGAGTTTCGCTCGTTACCCAGGCTGGAGTGCAATGGCACAATCTCGGCTCACCGCAACCTCCGCCTCCTGGGTTCAGGCAATTCTCCTGCCTCAGCCTCCTGAGTAGCTGGGATTACAGGCACGTGCCACCATGCCCAGCTAATTTTTTGTATTTTTAGTAGAGACGGGGTTTCACCATGTTGACCAGGATGGTCTCGATCTCTCGACCTCGTGATCCACCCGCCTCGGCCTCCCAAAGTGCTGGGATTACAAGCTTGAGCCACCGCGCCCGGCGGTAGTTGAATTTTTGCAGTACAACTTTTGGTTTGCAAATAGGCTTATGATTAGCATAAGCCTGTAGTGTCATATACTGTTTTTCTAGCAAGGCTGTTGGAGAAAGAGATACTAGAAAATACAATCTGATTGGGGTGCAAAAGATAAATTAACTAGATAATATTTTAATCTTGTTTGATGCCCTCAAAATAATTTAGAATCTGTTTTACTATTGACTCTTAGTTGTCAAGACTCAGTGGAGTTTTGATTGTTAGGATTTCTAACTAAGGAAAGAGCTAAAAATAAGTTTTTAGAGAGTAGCCATCCTCAGTGAGAAAAATTGATAATTAACACCCTTGGTAATTATTTCATACGTACTGCCTTTTTACTTTATAATAATTCTATTAAGATCATATGTGTAGTTTAGATCATAAACAGAATTTGTTTTCTGTATATTTCAAAGTGATTATCACCATAAAAAGCAATACAATTAATCATTTTAGTATTATAAGTGTCTTTATATGTAATAGGAGTTTACAGTTTGTTGTAGAAAGAGTACTAGGATCTTTTTTTGTGACCTGTACCATAATATAAATGTAAGATATTATACATAAATGTTGAAAATTTCTAGTTTTATTATCATAAACTAGAAGTTGATAAATTTAATGGCTATGATAATGGTATTAACATGAAATTCTGCCCTCCAGTAAGTTATAAATTTGAAAAAAAAATGACCATCTTTTTGGTAAGTTTTGAAATATTTATTGAAATAACATATATAAACTATCAATAAATACTATGACAGGCACTTTGAAGGTAATGATTGATGTCGATTATAGAAAATATGTTTGCTTTTATTCCTTTTACTATTTAGGTCGCTATACATTTCGGATCTGGAAACCTCTAGAAGAAGTTATCACAGAAACTGCAAAGAAGATTGTAAGTTGAATGTGGCTTTAGTTAGAAAACTCGCTTTGATTTTTGTTGGTATGACATATTTGAATTAGCTTAGAAAATGGCTTGGATTTTCCAATGTTTGTAGCTGTTCATTTCCTTCAATATCATTGATGAGTTTGTCTAACTTACTGACTCAGTTTCTTTTAAGTTTTTGGTCACATTATTTTTATATCTAACTTTATTCCTTGTTTTGATATCTAGTTATTATAATCTGTTTAGTATTATTATATCAATTTTCATATAGCTTAATTTCCCTGTTTAGTTAATGTTTATTTACTCAGTAAACATTTAATGAGTCCTGATCCCTGTGCCGGGAGCTCGGAATAGCTGATAAACAAAGAAGACATGGTTCTTGTCCTGATGGAGCTTACCCAAGAGTTGATGCCATCTTGAAACTTGAAACTAGACCCCTTATAGCATCACACCTGGCCATCTGAAACATAAAATTACAAGATTCCAATGATGAAATGCTATAGAACTAATTATACATTCTTGTACGGGCATTATAGCTATTCTTGGGAGCTGACAATAAGTGAAAAGTGAATGATAGTATGTATCCTTAAAAGTAACAGTATGAATTGTAGTTTGCAACAACTGAAGACAATATAAAGAAAAGTCAATGAAACCCTGTAGCATAAACATTGGCTTCAGGGAAATAGAAGCAGATTTGGGATAGATCAACTTGGTTGAGATTTGAAATTCTCAAATTGCTGCAAACCAAGTTGATTATCAGCTATTCTAAGCTCCTGGCACAGAGATGAAGAATCACTAAATGTTTATTAAATAAATGAACAGTAATTAAACACGGAAGGTAAGTTATATCAAAGTTGACATAATACTACTAAATGTAAAACTTACTTTATATGTTATTTCATTATATATTTCAAAACCTACCAGAGAGACTGTCATTTTTTTTCAAATTTATAATTTATTGGAGGATAGAATGTCATATTAATACTATTATCACAGCCATTAAATTTATCACATTCTAGTTCATGATCATAAAACTCAAATTTTTCAATGTTTATGTATAATATATTTGTATTATGGTGTAGGTCACCAAAAAATGAATAGCTTGTGAGACTTAACCATGAACAGTGATAGCACCAAAAGATGACATACTGACAAATAACTAAACTTAGATTCACACACACACACACACACACACACACACACACACACACAAAACCAGCAAGTGATTTTACAGTCTTATAAATGCATATCTATGATTAGAGGGAACATAGGCATATTTTCTGTCTTCCTGTTTATATTTTATTTGGCTAAAATAGTGGTAGGTATTGAGTAAATATTCATTGAACACCTAGTACATGCTAACTAGACATTATCATAGATAGTAGGATATATTTATGGACCAAAGACATTGCCCTCTAAGAGCTTACATGTTAGTAGAGAGACACAGTTAAGAAAAATGTAGTAAGATATATAATACCCAGAAGTGTCGCATGCTTTTGAGAAAATCAAATCAGAGTAAGAGTCTAAAGAGTAACAACAATGAGGTATCTTTACATTAGATAGGCCAGGTAAGATTTCTCCAAGAAGATAAGGGAGCAGGCCATGTGAGCCATCTGGTGTAAGAGCTTCCTGGGTGGTGGGATCACTGCATAGGTTCTGAGGTGCAAATGAGCCTAGAAGCAAGAGTAACTCCAAGGATGTATGAAGGGAATAGTGGCAGCTTGGGCCCAGATCCCTTAGTGCCTAATAGACGATGAAGGAAAAAAAAAAAAGCTTCAGATTTTACCTTAAGCATGATATGATAGAAAGCCCTTGGAAGGTTTTTTGTTTGTTTTTGTTTTTGTTTTTTACATGGAGTCTCACTCTGTTACCCAGGCTGGAGTGCACTGGCGCAGTCTCAGTTCACTGCAACCTCTGCCTCCCAGGTTCAAGCAATTCTCCTGCCTCATCCTCCCAAGGAGCTGGGATTACAGGCGCCCACCCTATGCTGGGCTAATTTTTGTATTTTTAGTAGAGACAGGGTTTCACCATGTTAGGCTGGTCTCAAAATCCTGACCTCCAGTGATTCACCCGCCTCAACCTCCCAAAGTGCTGGGATTACAGGTGTGAGCCACCGTGCCTGGCCCCTTGGAAGGTTTTGAGCATCAAGGCAATGTGATTTGCATTTTAGGTTATAACTCTGCTTGCTACCTAGATCATAAACTAGAGTGAGCCAGAGTAGAAGCTGTGAAACTGGTAAGAGGGTATTGAGATAGTTCAAGTGATAGATGATGATGGCTTGAAATAAAGTAGTAGCAATGGACACAGTAACATAGTTCTTTAAATGAATTCTATTTATTTCTTTCCATATGTTTATAAATAATAAATAATAAACATATGGAAAAACATAAATTTCAGAAGAATTTCAGAAGCCATTTCTCTTCTGTTATGGTGATCTTCAGTATACCGTAAATAGAAAATTATGAAGCTTTGCAGAACTATATAATTTCACATTGTAAAAGGAGAGAGGGCAAGAAAATGAGGAAATCTTCAGTACGTGGTAGAGACAGCTCACAGATAAGGCAGGGTAATTCAAGAGATTACAAGGGATACACTCATGTAAACTCTTTCTTTAGTGGCTCACATGGTCTGCTCCCTCATCTTCTAACAGTGGCCTTACTTGTCCTATTTAATCTAAAGAGTCTGAACCTGGTACCTGCATTTCTTAAAGGAAAGAGAAATGATGTGTACCCCCCTTTCGTTCTCCTTTGTGGGTCAAGGTAAGAAACCTGGCTTTCAATAAATCTTGCTCCTTTTCACAAAGTGCTACTCTTGAGTTTTCAGTAAAACATCTTAGAATATCTTTATCATCATCATGATCATCATTATTAAATTTTTACCTCAGTAAAGATGCAAATATTTTTAAACAATTTTTAAAATAGTAATCATTCTAGGGAAGCTGAGAAATGAAGTATGTGCATACTTTCTCTTGGTGTTGATGAATCCTAATGTCATACCTCAGACACAGCGTATACAGTGTTTTGATTTTATAAGTATTATTCATTATTCAACCAAATAAGGTTACTAAAAAGACAAGAACTGCAATTGTGTGTCACTAAATCTATTATTCAAAGGAGACTGTCCAAGGCTCAAGTTTCAATGGAGTTTCATTTCATTGTTTTTTAAAACTTCATTTCCTCTAAGCTTTAACGTCTTGTTCTTAAATCTTATCTTTCTCTTTTTCATATTTTTTTCATTTTGCAGAAATAGTGCCTAGAATAATTTTTTACATGAAATGCATGGTTGGTAAACGTTTTTTCTTCTTTGTTAAACAGTTTGTTTCTTTTGTTTTCACTGTTGTCAGCTGCTAGCTCCTTGAAATCTGGTGGAGCCAACATTAGAGAAGTATAAAAATCTCTGCTGAGATGAAGCCTCAGTGCCTGCACTCCTGCGTTTTTGTATACTCACAGCTAGATTTTTTTGGTGGTCTTCTGACTATTCTTATTCCATTTGTAGACAACCTGTTGTTTCATTTTCTTTTGTTGTTTGGGTTTGGGGTTTTAGGTTTGGTGGCAGGTTTTTTTAGCTCTGAAAATTTGTAGGATTTTCTCTTCCTTATTGATGTTCTGGAATTTCTTAAGAATTCTTAGTGAGCCCTGACTTACTTGAAAATGGTCTTTAGTTCTCTAAGATTTTCTTACAGTTTTTTCTTTCATTATTTCTTCCCTTCATTGTGTCTCTTCTCTGTCTGTAGAACTCTGAATAGAAAGATATTGGACTAAATAAAAAGATGTCTACTCTCTATGTCTCTTGCCATTTTCTCTTTTCTATCTTATCTTTCTTTGGTCTTCAGTTAGGGCTCTTCATTCTATAGTATTTTCACAGCGTATTTTCCAGATCACCAGACTGGGCTTTAGCAATGTTTATTCTGTTATTCAGTTTATCCACTGAATTCTTCACATTGGTATTTTTTTTCTTTTTTTTTTTTTTTTTTTTTTTTTTTTTTGAGACAGAGCCTTGCTCTGTCACCAAGGCTGCGTTGCAGTGGCACAATCTCAGCTCACTGCACCCTTTGCCTCCTGAGTTCAAGTGATTCTCCTACCTCAGCTTCCTAAGTAGTTGGGGTTACAGGCACTTGCCACTGTGTCCAGCTAATTTTTATATTTTTAGTGGAGATGGAGTTTCACCATGTTGGCCAGGGCGGTCTCAAGCTTCTGACCTCAAGAGATGGCCCACCTCAGCCTCCTAAAGTGCTGGGGTTACAGGCGTGAGCCACTGCTCCTGACCCACATTAGTAGTGTTCTAAATTCCAAGGATTCTTTCTTATTTCTTTATACAAGAAAAATTGCAAGTCATTTTTTAATTAATTTGATATCCTTTTGAATATTTCTAAAGCGATTAATTAGAATTTGGCCAAATTCTCCTCTGCTTCCTAATTTATCTCCTCTTCCTAAAGCCAGTTGTTATTTGTTCATATTGGTTCTTTTTTTCTCCTCCATGATACTGGGTTTACTCAAATGTCCAGTGACCCTTGGTTGTTGATTTATATTTATGATAACTAAACTGACTAGTAGAGGTAATATTCATGACTTTCTTCAGCAGTTTGGTAGGGTTGGTTCAACAGCTTAATTGAATGAGAGTGTTGACAGTGGGCTGTAAGTAACATAGGTGGGTTTGTTAACAGGCATGTCTTTCCAAGCAAGGAGACTAGAGGCAGGATTGGTACCTGGAGAGTTCAAGAGAGGTTGAGCACTGTATACATTTTACTCCTTGGCATAGCTTCCCACCCCCTTAGACTTCTAGGTTCTGAAATGGGGCCTGCTGGTATGCCCCTTTGTGTCTTGTAGTACCTACCACCCAGAGTAAGATGCATATCAGAGTAAGAGGCATATGGTTCTCTTTCTCAGCCTGAGGGTAAAGTGACAGGTGCCAGGCCTCTTATGCGCTGTATTGGTAGAGAAGGAATGATCTATTTACGCTGCTCTGGTTTAATAAGTTACACTTATTTTTTTATTGTTGTTATTGGCTCT